GACCTCCATGGATGGATGAGGAGCTGCTGAAAAAGTTAGAAGGAAAAAAGAAGCCTATAAAAGGTAGAAGCAAGGACAGGCGGCCTGGGAAGAGTATAGGGACGTTGTCTGGGAACCTAGGGACCAGGTCAGGAAAACTAAAGCCCAGTTATAATTAAACCTGGCAAGAGATGTGAAAGATAACAGGAAGGGCTTCTATAGGTATGTAGCCAACAGAAGACAGACTAGGGATAATGTGGGCCCTCTCCAGAAGCTACCAGGAGAACTGGCTACCCTGGATTTGGAGAAGGCTGAGGTTCTCAATTACTTCTTTGCCACAGTCTTCACTGGCAAATGCTCTGACCACACTGCCTGAGTCTTGGAAGGCAGATGCAGGGACTGTGAGAATGAAGACCTTGGGCCCACTGTAGGAGATGATTGGGTTCAGGATCATCTTAAGAACCTGAATGTGCACAAGTCCATTGGACCTGATGAAATCTATCCGCAGGTCTTGAAGGAGCTTTCGAGTGAAGTTGCTAAGCCACTGTCCACCGTGTTTGAAAAATCATGGCGGTTAAGTGAAGTTCCCAACAACTGGAAAAGGGAAATATAACCCCCGTTTTCAAGAAGAGGGAAATGGAAGACCCAGGGAACTACAGACCAGTCAGTCTCACCTCTGTGCCTGGCAGGATCATGGAGCAAATTCTCCTGGAAATCGTGCTAAGGCACATGAAAAACAATGAGGTCGTTGGTGATAGCAAACATGACTTCAGCGAGGACAAATCATGCCTGACCAATCTGGTAGACGTCATCTACCTGGACTTGTGCAAAGCGTTCAACACCATCCCACACAACGTCCTTGTCTCTAAACTGCAGAGACATCAATTTGATGGATGGATCACTCGGTGGATAAAGAACTGGCTGGATGGCCGCACACGAAGAGTTGTGGTCAACAGTTCAATGTCCAGCCGGAGACCGGTAACAAGTGGTGTACCTCAGGGATCAGTTTTGGGACTGATCCTGTTCAACATCTTTGTCAGCAACATGGACAGTGGGATTGAGCATGCCCTCAGCAAGTTTACAGACAACACTAAGCCCTGTGGATATGCTGGAGGGAAGGGATGCTATCCAGAGGTATCTTGACATGCTTTAGAGGTGGGCCAATGCAAGCCTCATAAAGTTCAACCAAGCCAAGTGGAGGTCTTGGAGCCGTGGCGGTTTTGGAGCCAAGGAGGTTTTGGAGCAAGTCCAGAGGAGGGCCATGGATAAGAGGGCTGGAGCACCTCCCGTATGAAGACAGGCTGAGAAAGTTGGGGCTGTTCAGCCTGGAGAAGAGAAGACTCTGTGGAGACCACATAGCAGCCTTCCAGTATCTGAAGAGGGCCTAGAAGGATGTTGGGGAAGGATTCTTCATTAGGGACAGTAGTGGTAGGACAAGGGGTAATGGCTTTAAACACACACACGGCAAGATTGTAATGGCTTCAAACATACACAGGGAAAGTTTAGGTTAGATACAATGAAGAAGTTCTTTACAGTGAGGGTGGTGAGGCACTAGAACAGGTTGCCCAAGGAAGTTGTGAATGCTCCATCCCTGGCAATGTTCAAGGACAGGTTGGATGGAGTCTTGGGTGACATGGTTTAGTGTGTGGTGTCTGTGCCCGTGGCAGGGGGGTTGGAACTAGATGATCTTAAGCTTCTTTCCAACCCTAACTATTCCATGATTCTTTCTTTGACTAGCATAGAGTATAAATGAAAATATGTCCCAGGTTTGGTCATTATTTTGGTGGCTCTGTCTCTGTACATCAACAGGTCTACCCAAGTTAAGAAAAGGCTCAGTTTAGTACATGTTATTTTAATCTTTGATTAGTTTTTAGCATGTCAGTAATAGCTTTTGTGACAGATGTGATATGTCACCTTTCAGGCATTTAGTGGGACATAATGAGTCTCACGATTTTTCACTTCTCAAGAGTTCCTCAGCTACTGAACTCTGATGCTGCACTCTACAGATAATTTCACCTGGTTAGGGCTGGGTAGTCCCCGCGTGACATTTCATATCCAGTTCACTTTTCAATGATTTATTTGTAATTTCTGCTAAACCACACTTAGAGTTATCCAGCGCTTGACTGCTAGATCAGTAACAGGTAACCCTTGCCAACAACACAGTCTGTTTTGAAGGCAAATGTAACTAGGAGACTGAGAATAAATCAATAGGTTAAGAGGTTGTGGGTGGGAACTGATGCCCATCCTCTGTCCGAACGCCAACTTCCAGAACACGGTGCTGTCGTCCAGCTGACCTTCCTTTCTTTTTCTCCTGCTGCTCGTGGCCTAAAGTAAGAGCACCTCCCTGTAGTTGGAGCTGAGCCTGAAAAAGAAGAAACTCACAAAAAAAATCCTTTCAGAAAAAAAAGAAAGGCTTCTAAAAACAAGTCCTTGTGCTTTCACCTTTGTCACAGCCCACACTTCAGCAGTGGTACCATCCAAGGCCCCATGACATTTTTAGCTCTCAGATCCAATCCAGCCTGGTTAGTGCTGTCCTTGCTGCAATTGTATGTTGAGAACATCGGCTTCACCTTAGATTACTTCTTGGGAGCCTTCCCCACCAGCAGCATCCCAGTCCCCTCTCTGCTGCGGTAGATACATCCCTAAGAGTTGCACTCCTCGCAGTGGCAGGAGAGGATGTAGCGGTAGGTGGCAGTCAGCCGCATGCCCCCTGAACATCGCAACCGCATGGCCTTCAGCTTGGAGGTCTGGGGCCGGCAGCAGTGGCAGGTGGAGCGGAAAGGCTGCTTCAGGACCGTGCTGAAAGAAACCATTGGCTCTGAGCGCGACGTCTGGCTGCAGCGCCCTTCACAGCGAGCCAGCAGCACCATCTGAAAAGGAAAAGAGACAGATTAGGAAATATGCCCCCATGGCTGCCAGCACGTAGCTAACACCAGCGGATGGGTACCTCCTTCCAGTCTGGCAGGTCTTTCTCCACTTACTGCATCCCCCACACCTTGGCTAGGGCAGCCAGCCCCACGTAGGGCATTGTCCCTGAGCTGTGTCAGAGAGCAGATGAGGTAACATGGGCAGGAGGAAAAGCAAGGCTCCTGAAAGCCCCCGTACCAACACCAGTAAGGCCTCGGCCGTTTTTCTGAAAGCTGATCTTGGGACTCCATGACTTTCCAGGCGTGGTGACTGCAACTGTGACTTGCTGACCCCAGATCTGTGGCAGCCAAGCCCTTAAGTTGTCAGCCATGCTGATACTTCAGTTGGATATTTTCCAGTGATTTGGGTGTATTTACTGGTGATCAGCAGGACTGGTCCTCAGGGCTAGTGAATGTCTCATATTTAGAGATATAAACTTATAAAGTACAAATATAAATAAGATGCTGTTTATTGCTTCTAAAGAAGTAAGTTTCTAGCTCCTTCCTTTTACAAAGATCACCTTGAATATATATTTGCCATTATGTGTGTGTATATATATATAATTGCATCAGTTGTACCTGTATAAAATGCCCTGCGTAGTGTAAGACAGTGATAGTGTAAAGGAGTGAGAATGTAAACAAGATGAACTCATTGCCAGACATGAGGGTTCACTAGTAAGGTTTTCCAAAAACAGTACAGGCTCCATGGTTGCAAGTTCACTAAGCTGTGACCAGAACAAGATGACTTGCACAATAGGGGGCACTAAGGAAGGAAAGCTCACAGGGAGTCACCTACTTCCCTTCCCAACTCCTTGTTGAGCAAAGGAGATAGATAGTCCTCTAAGTTCTACAGAAAACATGGAAAGGATCTTCTAAAGCTCTGGAAATTATATGAAAATTATCAAGGTAGTAACAGCTGCTACAAAGTTTCAACAAACTCTTATACCTTCATGGGAAACGAAATATTAAGTCCATATCAGCTAATTCTGCAAAACCAACAGAAATTTCAAAATGAACTTATTGTATCATCCAGAAAAGGTCAAAATGTGACAGAGGTGGGGAAGTAGACAGTAAAGTAGTCATAAGTTTATCGTATAACCAAGGGAGAAAATTGTATCTTAACCATGCTACACATATCTCATGTTTTTTCCAGACAATCTGAAAGGATAACTACAGATGTGACAGCAAATATTTTACTATGTTAAACCTTTTTGAGCTTCTTTCACTACACATGCTGAATTGACTGCCAGTCTCCAAGTCTTGCAAGCACGTATGTCAACTGTTTAATTTTCCTTATAGTGAAAGAGAAAGAACCTATTCAGGCTAACCTGAAATTCTCAGCAAAATTAACCTCCTCGTCCTCATAAATCCAGAACAGCACCAGTAGATTTTGGCAGGTGTGCAAATGAGCTGGAAATAGCATGTGCTTTCAAAGCTCTGCTTTGCCATTTAATCAATCGCACCAGCTGCTGATTACATTGTATACTATAGCACAATAGAGATTATCGCCTAAATAATTAGTAATGCTATGATGGCATAGCACAGTAATACAGTGGGTATATATATAGTAGAAACCTGTGTGAATTTTATAACCTGATATGCATGCCTCTTGGCTCTCCTCATCCCCTGCACATATGAGCTTGTGTGTGTCACCTTGTGATGCTGGATCCAGAAGTAAAGCATGCTACAGCGTGGGAGTGTCACAAAAACCGGCAAGTTGAATCTGAGGCAATATTTGACTCTGATCATTCAAGCTGTATTGTGGAAATTCAGAAGCTGTGAAATGGTTTATTATTAATGGTGTTTATAGATTCTTTTCCACACTTTTCAGCAACAAGTTGAGGCCCGAAAGCAGATGGGCTGAGATGTTTGAGAATAGACTTTCACACAGTATCTGTGGCCTGGCTGCAAGCAAGCGTTACTGAAAATTTCCTGAGCTACCTCATGAATATATCATCAGATATTTGCTAAAACTTTCTTCATCTGGTCTGTGTCTGTCTGGGCTGGACTCCTTAGTGCAAGGCTGTCAGTGGTAGCACACTTCTGGCACATCTGGAGGAAGCACTTATGACAGCCAGTACTGTAATTTAGGAGTCTCTGGTTGCAGCGGCAAGGCAATCCAGCACATCAATGAAGACCAGTAGGTCTCCATGGCAGAGGTCAAGCAGAATCCAATATGGTCAGGAAAGGCAATACCTCATCAGCTGATGCAAACATTTCCTTGAAGTCAAAGGAAAACACTGTTTTTCAGGAACAAATAACCTTCTTCCACCCTTCTTTTGTTATACATTCTCTTACTATAATGGACTATGTTTCTGAAGGCTTTGGAAAACTGTTTTCAACATCTGCCTGAGGTCACAAGCAAGAGGGATTTTAATGACTAAATTAAATTGGATGGATGTTTCCAAATGTAACAAAACTACTTCCCATGTGGGTACAATTGGCAGCCTCCACATGGAAGCACAGTGGATATAATCCTTTTTTAACCAAGACAGACAGCAAATATAGTATGTCTTGCAATTTTTGAAGCCATTTTTAACTTCTGTAATTCTATGCTGCACTAAAAGAGAAAACATACGGAGTGGAAAAGGATGGCTTGGTGGAACCAGTGTATAGTGTCAAAAAAGGGCAAAGTCTCTGACATCAGTTGGCCGTCCAAGCTTGGCAATGGAAACTCAGTGAAAACAAGAGATACCCCAATTCCCACAGCTACTCCTACAGAATCTTCCTTTATTTGACTTGTTTATATTTTATCACAATATATATAGGAACAGACATTGCATCTCATTTTCATTAGCAAGTCTAATATTGGTCTTTGTTTATATGCTAGATCCAGAACAGAAGCCACATTTCTACCAGGGTGATTCAGATCCCTGAGACCTTAAAAAAAATAGGAGCTTGGTTTAACAAACAGAAGTTTTCTAGGAAATGTCAAAATTATTTTGCTTTGTATGGAAACTGTTTTCATTTTCCACTTCATAAGAAAGTCCATACAACTTGCAGTACTGTTAAAAAACCGTTCTTGAAACTGTTGTGGAATTTGGCAAGCCAAGAGATGTGGTAATATTTTTAAACGTGATTTCCATTAAAGGCTTGACTTTAAGAAAATCACTGACATTTTTTCAGTCAGAGTTACAAATGTTTATGTCAACAGCTTTTTTCTCAAAGCTCAGTTTTGAAATAATATGGTTTTCATTAAAATGCATTCTGTGTTCGCATTTCTATCAGTCCCAATCCTAAAGGCCTGATTGCTTTTCAGTGTCACTAGGGATGGTAAGAAATTGAGTTATTGTTAACTTTCTGTCTCTCTGTCTCTCTGTCTCTCTCTCTCCTTTTTTTCTCTCTCTTTCTCTTACTCTTTTTTTTTCTCTCTCTCTCTTTCTCTCCTTCCATCCCTCCCTTCCTCTTTTCCTCAGAAAAATAACCCTCTATTTGTTGTCTGTGGCAGCCAGAGTGTAGAGGGGAGAGAGGGATCAAGTAGTAAATGATGTTGCTATTCAAACTCAGAAGCAGTAGGGCAAAAGTCTGATCTCCCACTGCTGTGGATCAGCCATGCTTATGCCAAAACAGGCAGGCGTCACTGCTGTGAGACCAGTGTAAGCAGAGTGGGGCTTTCCCCAGTGCCCCATTTTGAGGCTGTCAGCCCCTCTCTGGTGAACAGGCATAGGCCAAGCCCCACTAAAGATGCACATTGCACTGAACAGGTCTTAATTGTCTGTTGATGCTTCTCTCGGTGCTTTATTTTAATTTTTATGGCCTGCTACTACCTCTGATATTCCATCACCCCTGTGCTGATCACGTGAAGCAAATAACTTGCTCTGCACACAAAGGCGTCTGGGGTTCTCCTCAGCCACTGCTGCACTTATCTGAACTGCATGGATCCTCTCTCCTCGGAAATCCTCCCAGGATCACCGCTTCTGGGGTCTGCTATTAAGCAGGCCTTTTGTCCTAAAACCCATCATGTACCTGCCTCCCGTTGCTCTCTTACCCAGCACAGGGCTGGCAAAAGCGTTGATGCTGACAGTTGATCTCTTTCATTAATCCAGGGATGTGGGTGCATAAGGCAAAACCACTTTCTGCAGGGCAGAGGAATGGGCAAGTTGGAGACTGTACATCTGAATGTACAGTGTGTTACCTCAGCCAGAACAAATTAGGACAAGACATAAGGGACCAGTAAGGATTTTTCCATAGTTTCTCTCCATTCTTTTCCTCCACACAATGAAATAAATGACCGTAGGGTACATGTGCAGGCTGCTAAATCATTTTGACACAAAAAATTTCAGGCTTAAAATCTCAAATGAAAGGCAATCTTTTATTTCATTCTGCTTCTAACCCTGACAGTAAACATGTGATTGTAATTTTACATGAAAACAAAGGCCTTGAAACTAAATAAGGGGGAAAAGTGGCAATGTTTTTCACATTTTATTTTCACTACTATATTACAGCTTGATTCTTCATTTCACTTCAAAATTTGTAAGTTTACATACTCTAGATTAAAGTCTCAGCTGAAGGACAGGGTGACTGGGATGATCTAAACTTCCAAACTAGCCCATCTTCTTGGCACCAGTGGCTGAGTCCCCAAAGCGATCCTTTGAAAATTATTATTTAGCACATTAGCTTTACCATCATAGTGCGTATCTCATTTTGAAAAGGTGAAAAGAGAGTCAGCAGCCTTACTCTCCAGTGACAGTTCTAATGTACACATGTCTGTGCAACTAGATTTTGGTAGTAAGGAATTTGTGTGGAGAAAATCACCCCAAATGGCTCATTTTATCAACCCTGTCAATGCAGCACCCTGCTGGAAGGGGTGGGGGGGGTGGGGTGGTGTAAGGGAAGTCCTTACCTTCGAGCTACACTTGTAGAGGGGGTGGCTGATGGAGTCAACGTAGTGATGCCTCATACAGCGGCTGGGGTCGGGGTCGATCATGAAGGAACTGTCTGTTTTACTGTCTGCATCTCCCATCATCGCCAGGAGTGAAAGCATGGAAATCGAAGCCGCAAGTACATGATTTCCCATTGTCGAGGAAGTTCTCGCTGATAACAGCAGAGGGAGGTAGAGTATTAAAAAAACTCCAAATAGTGGCAGCCAGTTCCTTTCCAGGATGGTGAAAAGTCTGGTTTAAGTGCCTTAGCTGTCATTCTTCTTCTCGAGTTGAAGTTTGCTGAAATTGTAATCCGTCAAAGAATCTCCTGCATAGCTGGAATAAAAACAACATCAATCACAATCCTGACCAAAAAGACCTCTGAATTAAAACAGACATAAATAATATTAAGGCACACAGGATTTTTGCTAGCCAAAATATATGCTCTAAGTGAGCATCATTCCCACAGTAGGTAAGTATATGACATTAGGAAGAAAATGTCAAGGCCTTGTTACCTTAAGCGTTGCTCTATCATTTCACCAGGGAGAACCTTTCCACTTTTAACAGCACAAGTGGTGCAATGCCAATCCTTTTCATTGTGTGATGTCCCTAATGGGTTCCCCTCAAAACTGGTGATTAGGAACAACATCTGAGATATCTGCAAATTGGAAGAACTATGTATCCACTCAAGGCATCCAGCGGGGCAAAGCTAGGCTGCCTCCTGCATTACAGATGGAGATTTCTTTTCTAGGTAGCACACAGGAAGGATGGAGGCAGGTTGACCCCTCGCTTTAGGGCCTGTATGTAGGCCTCCTGCAGGGACAAAGGAAACCCCCAGGATGGAGGGATACTGAGGGTCTAAGTCCAGGCATGAGCAAAGTGGTCCCCCAGGAATCTGGCTGAGCACTGACCTGCACTGCATGGAGGACTACCTATGTCTCTGGCTGCCCTCCCCTCCTGACTACCAAACTTAGACACATGCAGGTGGGCATACCTTAGTTGTTTTCTCTTCAGGCTGCACTTGTGCAGTGTCAGTCTCTTCCCCTTAATTAAGGGAAAAAAAAGCACTATCTTGCGCTTTTTGCAGGTGGAGTACTGTGTATATCCATCTGGATTTCTGGTGCATGTTGGAGACCAGGAGATCCCCCAGAAAACAGGCACAGGATAGCCCCTGAAATGCTGCCAGAAGCTCTGTGCCAGCAGGGAAATGAGGGGCATCTCCTGCAGCTGCTTCATCACAGCCCCTTGATCCTTTTCACAAAGCCTGCAATCTCAAACGAGTGATTTAATTTCTCTTTTTCTAGAAACAGCTATAGCATGAAAAAGCTGTGAATTATCCACCTAAATACAACCTGATGAAGCAAAGGATAGTCATAAGTAAACTTAAAAGCATGAGAACTTTCTAAAGAAACTTAGGATACAACAGTTCCCTGGTCACAGAGAAATGCTCCCCCTAGAGCCTCTTGCCTATTTAAAGACCTGATGTGTGCCTTTATTGCCTTATACAATCCTCTTTCCAAACTGTTTTCTGGTTTGCTGGCAATGCTCTAAACCAACCAGTACTCATCTCCCAAACAGCCTGAAATTACAAGGCCTCCCCACCAGAGTGCTTGATGATTTGTGTACTGCTTTATAGCTTGCTCAAACACTGTTGTGAGACGAGTGCATAGCAGTGAGAAACACTTCCAGAGTTCATCCAAGCTGGGAGTCAGGACTTGTCAGGCTGTAGTGACAGATCCTGGTATATTTTCCTCAAGCAAATGTTTTTCAATGCATATGGCATTTAAAAAATTGCTCTCTTTGCAGTATAAGGAGCTCAAACAACACTAACACTGAGGATCTTGGATACATTTATGCACGGTCCCATGCATGTCAATAAATATCTCTCCAAACATTTTAGCAGGGTAAGAAAAATCTCCTGGTCATGGGAGCCGGGACTTCTTCCCAGAACTGAACTGTACTACTCTGGTTCATGCAGATGATGCCCAAGGATTAGCTAACAGGAGGAATGATGCACTTTTATTTTTTTTATATTTAACCTTTTACCTACATTCCTATTCTTCTTTAGAAAGAGGCTGACCAAAACATGCTGCTTGGCAAGGTCTCTCTCCAACATAGTTAATCAGTATTACACACCCAGTAATTCTCTCTCTGTCCAAATAAATTTGCTTGATATTGGACAGTCTCAGCTCATGTAATATTACGTCCAGGGATCCCCATTTCCCACTCTCTCTGTCCCACTGTTAATTTTGTGCTTCTATATCTTTCTATGGTTTTGATCAGTATGATTTAATACAGTGAGAGAAATCTGGAGTACTGGCTCGGTTTTCAAAGGCTTATCTCTCTAGTTTTCTTCAGGAAATAATTGGATGACATAGAGTCTGCCTCATGAAAACACTTTGAAAAAGCTGGAAAGAAGTGGGAAAAAATGTGAGAAAAGGAAGATGTCTGTACCTTCTTCAGGATAAGCACAGCACAACACAAAAAGTATTAACACTTTCACAATCTTATAAATTCCCCTGGTACCTCCCTGGCAAAGAAATGTAGCAGGATTTAGCAACAAAACTTTGAAAAAAGAAAAAAGTACTATTATCACGTATTTGTTAGTAAAAAGAGAGACCACAGATGTAAATTGGACCCATGTTTTATATAGAATCTGTGTACAGTTGTTGACAGACATACTGCCAAAACACGTGTATAGGTATTGGAAGCAGGACTGCAGACAACACTGGGCTGTTTGTACATGCCAGTATCTCCTAACATATGTATGTGAAGTACACAAATACATTTTTCAAGTACATATGCCATATATAACACATATATGGGAAAAAAAGTCTCACAGGGACATATAAACATGTAGAAGTTAGTGTGTATATTTTTGACTGTGCAAAAAAGTCTAAGTATTTTCACTCAGGTACATCACTGTGATGAAGTACTTTGACATGACATTTATGACATCTTCCATTTCCAGCTGATATTGTACAATGACATTTCCCTTTAAATTAACATTCTGTTGTTTGGGCTTGGGTTTGGGGTTTTTTTGTTTGTTTGCTTTAAAAAAGGTTGTATTCTTTTTGAAATGCTGTCTGAAATTATAAAATTCTAAACAGTACATGATATCAGGAGTTACATATGTAGCTTCCAGTTTATCGTTCTGTCCAAAAACAGAAGCAAGAACACCTGTAATTATTAATCACTATAGCTATACTTATGATAACATTTTGTTTCATTTGAAAAATATGGTTTTTAGCTAAAAATCAACAATTTCACATAGAACTTTTTTCTTTTATTTAAGCTGGTTTTCCCTTAGTTTCTTTTCATGTAAAAAACTGTGGTAAACAGCTCATTTCCCAGGCTAACAAAAAGGAAGCTAAAATGCTTCCTTTTTACAACATCCATTAAAGAAAAAGATGCAAAGGTGACTTCATGTTCTCAGGCTGAAAATTTGCTACAGAAATATTTGGCCTAACAGTGGATGAAAGTCACTACTTCCCATTTTTTCACAATTCACTGATATGGGCATTACATGTTGTCCGTAATAGACTTACAGTGTCTTTTCCATATAGGCAGTTTTCAGGAATACATAAAGACATAACATGCTAAAAGCTGTTACAGCTGTTACCTAAAACTGCTACAGCTGTTCCTAAAAACTTCAGTGAAAACCAGAAGACATCTCAAAGAAAGACCGTATGAACATACAATCCAAGACTGTATTGCACATGGACATAGGGGTAGAGTTAGGGTTATTTTTCCAACTTTATGTTATTATTAACTGCTTTTGAATGTTGAAATAAAGATTTCTTTTAATAGTCTTAATATAATTTAGAGAGTGGTGAAGGTTAAGATTTTGTTTTGCTTTAAGGACAGAAGAAAATTCCATCATCTGGAATTATTTAGCTAGTCACTTTGTGAGAACATAAACAGAAATTCCCTTTTTGCTATGTATCTTGGAAAAAATAAAGAGCTGAGCAATTCTCCAAAGGTCTATTGGATCTGTACCGCTTTTACCCTGGAAGGTAGGAAGGGAGCAATGGAAAAGCTCATTTATAGTGTATTTCTACTTAGCTGTTCCTCACTCCCAAGCCCCCTGAATTAGGCATGCACGTATGTTCAGCTTGGCCTTCATTTGCTGTGCATTTTGTCTGTTTGAGACTCCTGCTTGACGATGAGGGTACAATTCAAGTCACTCAATGCCTTTTATGTTTTGGAGGCTGCCAAAATGCCGTTGGAGCAGCAGTGTGTATATATAACTAAGCCTGGCCTTGCACGCTGTGCATATTTAGTAAGCACAATTACTTGGATCCTACCATGTGGTTCCCTCATTCTGAATTTGTTATGTAAACAGAAGAGTTACAAGACTACTCAGTTTCTCCAAACTCCAGCCCTAAAAAAGTGTTACTAACCATGTATATGTATACGTATGTGTATGTGTCTGTAGTTTGGAGCTGCTGTTTGGAGAAAAAAGCCACAAAGATCTTCATGAGACCAAACCAGATTTCTGAAGAATTATACCCAGCCTGCAAAAGGCCAGAAAGATGAGGATGTGGGGGGGGTGTGCTCCAAGATCTGGACTGAAGTGGAAATGGCTGTGTTGGGCAAACTACGTTGTCAGGTTACACCAGGGTTTGTGCTGCAAACACAATCAGGGCAATCCCAGGCACACCTACGGGTTGGGTGGAGAAGAGATTCAGAGCAGCCCTGCAGAGAAGGACTTGGAGGTGTTGGTTGATGAGAAGCTTGATGTGAGCTGGCTTCAGTGTGTGTTCGCAGCCCCGAAACCAATCATATGCTGGGCTGCATCAAAAGGAGCGTGACCAGCAGGTTGAAGGAGGTGATCCTGCCCCTCTACTCTGCTCTCGTGAGACCCCACTTGGAGTATTGTGTCCAGTTCTGGTGTCCTCAACATAAAAAGGGCATGGAGCTGCTGGAGCAAGTCCAGAGGAGGGCCACGAGGATGATAAGAGGGCTGGAGCACCTCCAGTACAAAGACAGGCTGAGAAAGTTGGGGCTGCTCAGCCTGGAGAAGAGAAGGCTGTGTGGAGACCTCATAGCAGCCTTCCGGTATCTGAAGGGGGCCTATGAGGATGTTGGGGAGGGACTCTTCATTAGGGACTCTAGTGGTAGGACAAGGGGTAATGGCTTCAAACTTAAACAGGGAAGTTTAGATTAGATATAAGGAAGAAGTTCTTTATAGTGAGGGTGGTGAGGCACTGGAATAGGTTGCCCAAGGAAGTTGTGAATGCTCCATCCCTGGCAGTGTTCAAGGCCAGGTTAGACAGAACCTTGGGAGACATAGTTTAGTGCAAGGTGTCCCTTCTCATGGCAGGGGGGCTGGA